AATATATATTATATGTGTGTATATAATATATTTTCATGTGTGTATAATATATATATATATATATTTTTCTTCTTTCCCTCATCCCAGTTATTTCCTTCTGAGCAGTTTCTTCCTCTTTCACTTTCATACTATCTATAGTACATTTTGGATTTTTATTTACTCTTTCAGTTCCCTTACACTAGGGAAACAATGTGATGTTTATACATGCGAGTCTGATATATTTCTCTTCTGAGTATGGTCTCATTACATTCATTTATCTAAAAAAGCCTTGAGTTGATCATACTTTGTAGCTGAGTAGTACTCCATTGTATTAAAATACATCCTTTTTTATCCATTTTTTAAATTAGGTTAAAATGGTTCGGGCCCTTGTGTTTGCTCCACTACTTGATTGCAAGCAACTGACAATTTCTTTGTATTTTCACCCACTTTTTAAAAATGAAAGAAAAATGCTTCAATAAATTAGTGTTACAGGATTTAAAAAAAATATATGGACTTTGTATATAACATATATGCTGACCTGTCACTCAATAAATTTAGCACGCTGGCTATTAATGCTTATTATCAGGTGGGTGCAGTGGCATACACCTGTCAGGAGATTGAGATAGGACGATCATGATTTTAAAGCTAGCCTCAACAATGTAAAAATCCCCATCTCAAAAAAATTATCAGTATCATTAGAGAGAAATGTCACATTGCAATGTCATTCACTCTGCTTATATTTTCATATATGTTAAGTGCATTAAATACCTACCATTACTGAAACAATTATCTTATCTTTTTTCTTCACCCAAAGGAGCTATTACTATTAATGATTACCTGTCTTCAGAAGAGATTTTTTCGGTGAATTATTTTCCCTACACAGTTAAATGATAATAAATAAAATGTCTCCTAAGATTATGCTGTTTATTAATGTCACCACAAAAAGCTTGAAACACTTCCTCCAGTATCTAAGCAGGTGTATACTCCAGGATAAACACTGCTGTAAAGGTATGTGTGTCTTGTGTTTCTATTTCTTTAAGGAAACAATGATAATTGTGGTGGTGACAGAGACATATGACTCAGTCATGAAAAGGCAAGTAAAGTGCCCTTTCAAAGGATAACCAGAGAATAAAAAAACATAGTGTTCTAGTTTCCCTGTAGAAATCAGAGGCATAAAATTTCAGAAAGTTATTTACTGAACTGCCAACTAAATTGCCTATTATTTGGTAACCTCTGTGTGGGTACATCTACCTGGAGCCATGAGGTGGCAGGTGAAGTGGGAGTTTTAGGTAGAATGTAAACAGAATTCTGTAAACTTCTTCCAGATACAGGATTACAAGACAAGTTGATCTTTGTCACTGCCTGAGGCCTGGATATCCTTGGCCAAATATTAGTTCCAGAAAATAGCAAGGCAGTGGCTTCTGTGATTATTTTCAGCTTGTGGTTAAGTCGAAGGTGTTGTACTTAGTAATGAACAGATACCCTCAACTCTGCTTCAGGCACTTATGTTTCTACTCAAACAAACATTAGTCAAAAAATAGAGGAACTTGTTCAGAGATTTCTGTTTTTGTTTTTTGTTTTGTTTTGTTTTGTTTTTTGCTGAAAACACTTTCTGAGGAATATGTGCATTTTGAAATTAAAAGTGTCAATGATTTGAAATAGTTAAGTATACTACATTGGATTCTTCAGTAAAATATGAAAGTGACTTGAAAATGTGCAGAGGATATTTTAAAAAAATTTTAATATTATTAGGGGACTGGAAGTGCTGCCTGTCTCTCATATCAGCCAATACTTTACTATGAGAAAAACAGTGACCTAACAGGAGTGATATTGGTGATAGTTTTCAAAATCAAGACATAAAATGTAAATCCAGTGCACACAAGTGTAGACAAATCTCCATTATGAGAAAGTGCTGTTTTAAGAAATCTGAACCTAATTGTAAATGTAGAGTTCTTACAGAATTTCATCAAGACAATTTAAACCTCTGTCAAAAACCTTTGAAAAACTACATGTTGATGGGAACACCATGAAATAATATTATTGTAATGAGAATTCTCCTTCATGGGCCCCTTTCTGAGCTTGCCATTTCATTTAAGGTATACATTATTCTTGCCTTAAATTTGACAGTGTACTATGGAGAATAAATCATGACTTAGCATTAGTCAGAGCTCATAGTACCAAACCTTATCTAATTTTGTTTAAAACTAGATTTCAAATTCCAGATGCAAATGACAGAGCCCTATAATAGCATTGCCCTTTAGCTCTAGTTATTATGCTAAAGAAACAAGTCAACAAAATGAGAAACAATTGCTTTATAAGAAATGCAGCAGAAATCTAGTCTGTTAATTCTTTTAAATTTTAATGATAAATTATAGAAGCAGTACTCAACACTATTAAAATATAGGAAGGAAAAGATGTTAAGTATGTTCAGAAAACTTAACATATATCATATATGAATTAATTTATCTTAGGGAATATATTTTTATTCTATTTTCTAGCAGAATGTTTCAGTAACATTACAAAGATACCACTATTTGCTGATTTATTTTCTAAGCTTGTAATATAAATAAACATAAGCAAACTAAGAAAGTTACCTGAAGCCATGAATTTACATATGAAATTTTTAGTACTGTACATATTTTAGTACATGAAGGACAATGGAATAGCAAATCAAATTATTTATTTGTTGATTCATTTATTTACTTGACAGCAACCAAATATTCAACTTAATGGTAGTTGTAAAGTCTGTACATTCATAACACTGATCCAATTTTAGGTTGACATTGAGGTTTAAGAATAATCCTTGGGAAATTTTTACTTTAAAAACTAGAGAATATAGTAGTCATTCTAGGGGTCCTTTAGAGCACAGACTTCTTTTGTCTGGACTCTCATGGTCATTTGGGCCACAGTTATGAAGTTAGCCACTTTAGTCATACTGAAGACCCGGAAAATCCCAGAATAACCCTCAGAGAATGGCAGAGGTATATGAGATACACCTATGACTGATCTCTTATCCTAGGACCAAACTCCTCTATAATACTCCAAATGCTTCCCCATATAGTTGAATGTCTTAAATGAAATTCTAGTTCTAGAATTGTGAGGACATGAAAAGCAGCTGAGCAGTTCATAGATGCAGCACTTGCAAAAGTGGCTGTGTTTAGCAGATATTTGAAAAATACTCCAAGGACATGAGATATATGTTTGGGACCAAAAATTTCAACATTATATGTAGAAGATTACTATGGGCAAAATACACTGAAGTTATTTGTTCAACTTCACTCTAACACTTACAGCCATGGACTGCTAAAGAAGGGTGTTATCTCCATGTTAATGTCATGTTGCTCTACAAATTTTGACCTGTTTTCTTTATTCCATCTCAAAATGCTCAATAAGATTGGCTTTGACTTTCCCATTTGAAGATCCCCTTAAAAAAGGATGACAAGTAGGATGATTTAAGATGATAAAGTCTTGAAAACAAATGCAGGATGACTTACAGGAAAATCATAAGGCAATATATTTTCTTGAATAGTGATTTTTTAAAGTATTTTACCTCTCAAAATAGGAATCTTGAAACATTATCTGTGATAACTGTGGTAATTAACTGCAAAAAGATAAAGATAAATCACTTTAAAAGATTAACATATTTATGGACTCAATAGTTGTGTAAAAAGAATAAAAACATCAACCGAATTTGAAGTTTTACTATCTTGCTCAAAATAAATAAAAATATGAAGTTAAGTAAAATGAAAATTATGTAGTTTTATACCTGGACATAGAATTACATAATTCACTATCACAGATAGATTCTAAACAAGTTATTTTCATGAGTCATATTTTGCTTGTGAGCATTTTCTAAAATCTTCTGCAGCAAAAATTAGTGCAATATGTTTCTTATTAATGAGATGTTACATATAACAATATCTTGTTTATTCTTAGCTTATTGTGTTGTTGTGATCAAAGTAATCTCTTGCGTAAGACTATCTGCATATCTCAGCATGTCAGTTTTACTGCAGGTTTAATAAACATCAATGATATTTGAAAAAACATATACAGGAAGTAACCACCCTTGATTAGTATAGAACTCTTCTTACTAAAGAGTTGTAAGAAAAATTGGTGTTTTAATAAAGTAAGATTTAAACGTGTGTTGTGAAATGTAATGACACAATAGTATAATTAAGTTCATAACCTCAAATAAATGTGTATGGAAGATTTATTCAGAGAAATAAATTTAAATCAATCTAGCCTACACATTAGACTAGTGAATTAAAGATTTAGTCATAAGAAGAAAATTAATGTTTTAAATGCCACCAAAAGAGTTCATTATTTTTCAACTGATTGTGCTTTTGGAAAAAGGGGGAAATGTTTGAAAATGCATTCCACCATAAAGTCCTAGAGGATATCTTCATTATCATTAAAAACAGCCAAAATCGACAAAGTGCAATATGTATTTGATTTTAAAATTAAAAATACTTAAAACCATGAAGGACATATTTTTCAAAAGCATGAATATTTTTCTAAAAGCAATTGTATCTTGGCGATATGTGTTACTGAAACTTGTAATATAAACTGCTTTTACTTGTTTTGTTTTCATGTAAATGGCAATATTTTTAACATATATTGTTAAATAATTCTTTATACATCACTTTTCAAGGCATAAATAACTATATCTCTATTCAGAGACATTTATATTAAAAGCAGCAACAAACCTGCAAGTAACAGTGAAAAATCAGATTGATAAGATTATATCCCAAAGATGAGAAGTATAAAACAAAAGAGGCCTTTATTCTGAGAACACGGGGAGAGAAAACCAAAAGCCAGATTCCCAACCGCTGGAGTCTGGCTTTCTCTCTGGTGGACATGTGGCGTGGCAGATATGTAAGTAGCCTCGGTTTGGGGTGGAATCTAAAGGGGCATCAGGGATGCACGGGTAGCCCATGGGTAGTCCTAGGTTTGGTGCCATAGGTAACTTCCCAGGGGCAGGGAGGATGGAATCACAGGTAAATTCCTAGGGGTGGGTGAGATAGGAGCTCCTTGCTTCTACCTGTAAGGCTTCACTGGCTACAGTGTCTTGTCTGGGCCAAAACCCTTTCATATCCCATCTTATGACTATTATTATGAAAAGGGGCAAAGATTTCTCTCTTTAACTACTTAATGCTGGCAGGGGATGCTGTACTAGGGTCTAGGGAAGTTGATGCAATGATAGTTGATGCCCAGATAGACGCTGGTGCCAGGACAACTTCACTGGTGAATGCACGTATGTTAGATTGGAAAAACAAAGAGACGAGATGTCATGAGGAGGCATGGCACTGTCATATTTAAGGACCCAGGTGAGGTAAAGGAAAAGGTGCCTTTGATTTAGACATGTCATTATATCAGGACGACGTTGAGGTAGGATCATTGTCACGGTGAGGTAGAATTCTGAAAAATAAGTGTGAGGTTTGGAGGAGTGAAGTTATGAGAGGTGATTACTCCCCCATCTGAAAGCATAAAAGTTAAGAGGGTAGGTGTATAAAACTTGTCTCTGGTTCAGGAGTTGAACTGGAAAAAATAGGGGGAGCAGGGAAGTGGTACCAGTATAGGGAAGGTAAGGGCTTAAGCTTTCAGGGATGTCATGTTTAACCAGACAGCTGAGGGTAGAAAGAACTGCTACAGTCATCACATAGAATATTATGAAGATTATCTTAAGCATGATGTGGGAGTCTTTAGGAAAGACTGTCGTGAGTCCTGCTGTAAAAATTATCATTAATAGAACGTAAGAAATTAGGAACCAAAGTGGATAACAAACCATGACTTAGCCTGTTAACTGTGGCTGTGAGGCCTTCATGAAACAGAGATGGGTGGGCAACAGAAGATGAGATGACCACTCAGAATGATCAGATTTAGGGCTGGGAAGGCACTTCTTAGTCTGAGTGATGTGAAACCAGGATGGGAGTCCAGCAACTTTGACCGCTGTAGGGGTAGCCAAGTAGACCAGATAGGGGCCACTCCACCTTGGTTGTAAGTCCTGTGGATTTAGAACATTTCAGATAAATTAGATCTCCTGGGGATATGGGAGGATCTGGTTTGGCTTCTCCAGAGGGTTGTGGAAGGCAGAGATCAACATGTTGTAGCAACAAGGGTCAGAGGAAGGAGAGGACTGGAACATAGTCAGCAAGGGGAGAGAGATTTTGGGGAGTAGGATGATTATGGAGTAAGAATACAAACATAAGTTCAAAAGGACTTAAGAAAGTAGGAGCCCGGGGAAGTGCCCTGAGTGTGGCTAAGGCTAAGGACAAAAGTTGAGGCCAAGGTTGGTGTAGTTCTAAAGTGAGTTTTGTAAGGTGTGTCTTTATGAGGCCATTTGCCTTTTCCATTTTCCCTGAAGATTGTGGATGATATGGGATGTGTAGGTGCCAGAGGATGTGTAAGCTTGAGGATACCTGTTCAGTGATCTGAGAAATAACGGCGGGACCATTACCTGACTGAATACTCTGAGGTAGACCAAACCTTGGAATGATTTCTTGTAACATGACTTTGGTAACTACATCAGCAGTTTCCCTGGTTGTGGGAAAGGCTTCTATCCATCCTGAAAAGTTACAAACAAAGGTGAGAAGATATTTGAGAGTTTTGTGGCAGGGCATGTGTGTAAAACCTATCTGCCAGTCCTGACCAGGGGTGTGTCCTCGAAACTGATGGGTAGGAAAGGAAGGGGGTGCCACATGTCCCTGAGGAGAGGTCCTAGCACAGAGATAACAGGTGTGAGTAATCTTAAGAATGGTAGCTTTTAGAGAAGTGTGTGTGACTATTGGGGCTAAGAGTTTGTATAAGGCCTATGATCCTATATGAATACAGTTGTGTAAGTCAGTGATGATGTCTAAGGCCTGTTAGTGTGGGAGAACAAGTTTAGATCCCTGAAAAATCCATTCCTGAGTGTTTTGTGTGTAATCTGGTTTATGAAGTAGCTGTAACTGTTCTGGTGAATAATTAGGCTGAGGTAGACTGTTTGGAATTATGGGAGAAGATGAGAAGGGCAGGGCCCTTTGCAGCTCACTTTGCTTGTGAATCTGCAAAGGCATTGCCTTGAGCAATAGGATCTGTAGAGTTTTGGTGTCCTCTACAATGAATAACTGCTGCCTGCTTTGGAAGTTGGGCTGCCTCTAGAAGTTTTAGGATAAGGGGAGCATTAATGATGGGGATTCCCTGAGTTGTAATAAAACCCTGTTCTTGCCAGATAGAGGCAAGAGTGTATACAGTTCCTCCCACATTTTACTCTCAATGGCTCCTGCCTGCCAAGCATGAGCAGCTCTCCCATTACACCATTTTTCCCGCGAAGCTGGCTAACTATGTGTGGACTGAGATTTATGAAACTATAAACCAAAATAAAACTCCCCTTATTTCAATTGTGGGTGTCACGGTTTATGTCTGTGACACCCAGGCCCCGTTCATTTGCATTGTGCATTTGTGATTGGTTCATTGTCTAGTGCTTGGATTGATGGTGTCAGTGTTACTTCCACAAGGTGGAGGAGCCAGGGTGTAATTTAATGGTAGGTAGAAGGTGTGTCTTGTACTCTCTTGCCTGTTTCTCCCTTGCCATTTGCAGCTTCCATGAACTGAGCCCCTGCCATGCCACCCTGTCTTGGAGACAACTGAGTATGGACTGAAACTCCAAAAACTGTAAGAAATAAACCGTTCCTTTCCCAACTTGGTGCATCAGGTATTTTGTTTCAGTGATGAGTAAAACAGAACTAAGACCGAATTTGATATTGAGAGTGGGCTTCATTTGCTGAGACTCTACCTGACCATGTTTTTTGAGAGGCTTTGGAAATGGCTTGTCAGAATTTGGAATGGTTCAGATATGTCACCTGGATACATAGAGATGGAGCAATTTACACTGATCTGTAGAGGAGATTCTGGTCAGAGCTCTGAAGAAATAGAAAGCCTCATGGTAAAGACCAGGCCTGGGATCTTTCTGCTGGGCAGAAGAACTGCATCATGGACTCACTATGAAGTGCGTTATGGCTTGGCAGAAAGCTTGTCTGCATTTTGCTCATGGCCAGAGACTTTGCCTGAGACTGAAACAAAGAACAATGGACTGATTAATCTGGAAAAGGAAATTTCCATGAAATCGAATGTTGAGGCTGTGGCGTAGCTATTGTTGGGGCCTTTTAGCCAGCTTTATGTTGCAAATCAAGAGCAAAGAGCCCACTAGCATAATTTACAGCACTGTGAGTTTGGCCAGAAAGAAAATTCCAGAAAAGACAGAGTGGAGAATTTGATTGCTGAGGAGAAACTGAGAGATAAAAATCATGGCCCCAGGGCATCCCAGAAAACATTGGGTCCCCACCCTTTGCAATTTCAAAACTGCAAAAGTGAAGGAATTTGCTCAGAAGAGTAAGCTGCAGAGCACCATGTTCCAGAATGGTACCAGGGGCCACATGAGGTTCCAAAATGGTAGCAGCCAATTGAGGCTCCAGAATGGTGGCAACATAGAGAATCACAATCATGTTCACAGAGCCCAGTGATCCAGGCAATCAATCCCTATAGAGAAGAGAGAAAAAACCTGGCTACTGCTCGAGATGGCAGCAAACCTTGGCAGCATCCACAAGGTGCTGATTTTAGATGCAAGAAAAATGCACAAATTCTGAGGGTAAGATGGCTTCCACCTGTAAGATGGCTTCCGATTGTAAAGGGCCTGGGAGGCCAAGCAGTGTGCCTCTGAAAGGGCAATATGTAAGGATGTAAGGGTGAGGCCAAAGTGCAGTGGAGACCTCAGAAGTTTGGAAAAGCCAGGAAAGTGGATCATCCAAGGAAAGCTACAAAAAGTGAGCAGAGAGGATTTAAGAGAAAAGCTGCAGGAGCTTAAATCCCTGGAAGTGCCATGGGGGTGGAATCATCCAAGCCTTTTGGAGCTTGCAACCAGACTGCTTCAAATGCTGAGCATGAAACTTCATCCTGTTGGATGTTGGACTTCCTTTATTTCCAATGCTTTATATGCCCCTGTTTGTAACTTTCAGAATGGTAATGCTTATCTTGTGCCTTGGCATTTCAGAAATGTTTAACCTTGTTTCATTTGTACAGGGGGTTGCAGTTAAGAATTTGCCATAGATGTTGGAGGAGACTTGGAACTTGGACATTTGAGCAATGCTGAAACTGTGAGGACTTCAGCAACTCTTGGAGGTGGACTAAATGTCTTTTGTATAACTCATGTACATGAATCCTGGGGGTCGGGGTGGAATGTCATAGTTTATGTCTGTGGCCCCCAGGCCTAATGCATGTGCATTGTGCATTTGTGATTGGTTCACTGTCTAGTGCTTGGATTGATGGTGTCAGTGCTACACCCACATAGGGTTGGAGCCAGGATGTGATGTAATGGCAGGAAGAAGGTATATCTTGCTGTCTCTTGCCTGTTTCCTCCTTGCTGTTTGCAGCTGCCATGGACTGCAGCCCAGCCATGCCACCCTGCCTTGGAGCCAACTGAGTATGGAATGAAACCTCCAAAAAATGTAAGAAATAGATCTTTCCTTTCCCAACTTGGTGCATCAGATATTCTGTCTCAATGACGAGTAAAAAGTAATTAAGACAGTGGGTGTTGGGTATTTTGTACCAGCAATGAAGAATGCCATTAAGACTAGGGATGTTTTTGTTATAATAAACTAATTAAATAAATGATCTTGAATATATGTGGTACTTCTAAATTCTATGAGCTCAATCTCTATATTAGTGGGTAGGTACCTATTTTCCTCTTCTCTGCCAGTCCCAACTTTTTGCCTGATAATAGTTTGCCCATTTTGTTAGCATGAGAAACAAAATCAGAGTTGAATGAAAACACAATCGTAATTTCTCAACTTTCATAGGCCATGTTCCATGAAATAGGCATTGCTCCATTTCAGAAAATGCCAGTGAACATTCTTTAATGACAGAAATAGTCTAGTAAAATATAGATGGATCCTCAGAAATTCATTTCAGATGAAAAAAATTTAGAGAGCATAATCTGCTTGTCTAATTTCCGTTTGTGTAAAAAATTGTATGCTTCTTATAAATAATATACATTTTCTATCATTTTATAGTATGTGGAGTCAGTATTATTTTGATTATTCTATGTGTGTAAAATTGCATGTTATAAGAAAGATTTAACATTATCACATGTGTCAACTTTAGGTTCACATGTACCAATTTTCTTCAGTGTGTATAATAAATTGTTTCTCTAATCAATTTCAGTTCATAACGATTGGAATATCATATTGAGAATATAGATAATATCTGATAGCTATTAATTACAAGTCTCCACAAACTATTCTAATTATTAATATTCAGATATAGAATAATTCTGTGATTAAAATTATATAATTGAATCTTTTCCCCATTTTAATAATTGAAGATTATTAAAATAAAAATAAAATATCTAGAAAAGTAAGTGAAAATGAATGATAACCAATCATAGTTTAAATCATTGACTCTGCATGATAACATTAAAAATATTATCCTTTCACTCAATAATTAAAAATAAAATATAATTCAGGCAGTCAACTAAGGTTAATAAAATATTGCTTTAGTTTTTGCTTTAGTTTTTATATTTAACATTCTTTTTAGAAAAAGGCAAATCTTGATATAAATTTCTTTGGGCAGAGTTATTCATATTTTAGTTCCAATACAATGGTGCACAAAGTACACAAACTCAAATATTTGAGACACCTAGAATGGAAAGTTGGATAGAGGAATGCTGCTGTGAGGATGTAGGATGTGTACATGTTAGAGGAAGAGAAAAAAAGTCTTTTGTTTCCATTGCTACAGAGAGGCCTGACCCAAATCAGCACACAGTTCTGTGGAAGCAAGGAAATGAACACCACTCCTTAGGGAGCTCCAGAATGGGTTTATATGTTTTGATTAGATCTGAGGTCTTTTGCCATAGGAAGTTTAGGAAAGAATTAGAATTTGTATTCTGAAGCAATTATTAAGTAGCTAATTTTGAATGTTTTATTTCATTTAAGTTTCATTTGAAACATATGTTAGATTTTTTTAAAAATAATATGAGAAAAAAGAGACACCTGTGTGGAATTGTTGCATCACTGGTAAAGCATGAAAATAGGAATAATAAGTTATCTGAGTCTAAAACTCATGGAGCTCTTGGAGCTGTACTGACATGATTCATATGACAAGACCTGAGTCATCAGAGTCATATATATCATGAGCCTAATTAACTATATGCTGCTTCTCTTAAGTGAGACATATTAAAATTTTTTTTGCTATATTGCAAATTAATGTTTGACCTAACTTAGGAAAAATGATATTTTATGAAGAGAAAACAAGGATGTGCTCACTAGAGAGAAAAATATCAGTAAAAGTTGATATCATATTTATATCTATACCATCTTTGTTGAAATGTTATTGAAGTTTTTCATCAAAAGTAAATTTTTAATCTCAAAAGCAGAAAACCTGATTAAAAATGGGCTAAGAACCTGAACAAACATTTCTCTCAAGAAGACATAAAACTGCCTAATAGATACATGAAAAAATGTTTGCTATCCCCTGTCATTAGGCTAATGCAAATTGAAAGCACTGTAAAATATTTCCTCACATTTAAGGATAAGGATGCTATTGGCAGAAAGACAACATGTAGCAAATATAGGTGAGGGTGTGGGAAAGAGGGAACCTAGCTCACTGTTGGGAATGTAGACTAGTGCAAACACCATGGAAAATAGCACAGAGGACTTTAAAAAATTGAAAATAGAACTACCATGTCCTAGCAGTTCTAGATGTAGATATCTACAAGGTGCACACCAGATCTCTTTCAGGTAAAAGAGATGACATTTCTAACTGTAAATATGAGTAAACTTTGTGTTTGTTGCAGCATTTTTCACAATTGCTAAGATATAAAAACCACTGAACTAACAAATAAGTGATAGTATAAGTATACAGAATAGATAATGTCATATGTATACACAATGGAATATTACTCAGTCTTAAAAGAGAACCTGCAATTTATCATATGCATAGACCTTGAGGATATTATGCTAAGTGAAATATGCTAAGCATGTGAAACTATGGCAGGATCTCGTATGTTGAGTGAATGGAAGAAATGGGAAGCTATAAGTCAAAGAATACAAAGTTGCAGATACATAAGTAATGAAGCTTGAGAAGAACACAAGTTAATTATAGAGATTTTTTATTAAGTAGATTTTAGCAGTTTTTATCACAAAATATATTATTATGTGTAAAGATGGTTTTGTTCATCCATTTCACTCAGTATAGTTTCCACATGTATGCCTCTTATAAAATGTTGTGAACTTCAAGTATACACAGTAAAATTCATTTTTAAAAAATGAAACAGTAAAGGGGGATATGTTTTAAATTATTTAATGTAGCAATCGCTATTTTTTAAGCTGCTAAACTTTTTATTTGATTTAACACATTTTTCAGTGTTTATAAATAAAATGAAAATGACATGACACATATCCATATTTTTCACATGAAATATTGATAAATCACAGTACCAGAATTAGATGTTAAATATTCCGATATATCAATTTCTAACTAATTACATAACACACATTTATCAACATCTAGGTAAATATTAAGCATGCTTGGTCAACTAAAGACTATTTCAAAGTATATTTATTTAAAGTGATGTAAAGATATTGTGACTGCTCTATTTTTGTCCTATTTATTACCCATTACTTTTTTTAAAGAAAACAATGCTCCCTTTGATTATTAACTCAGTAAAACAAACTTCTTGGGTCACTGTACTATATGGTTGGAGTATAACTAAGCAAAGCTTTATTTATTGAAATTGTCATTATTAACTAAATATAGCAGAATTCACTTGCATTTAATTTGAACCACGTACTTGAATCAGTTATATTTAAATCATATAAAGCAATGGGCAGAGAAATATGTTGAAAGAATGAAAGAATGCACATTCAATTCCACAAAGTCTGCACTGCTTATAGTGCCACATATACAAGAAAAAGGGAGATGTTTGTGTTATTTTTTCAGTTTGTATTTGTCAAAATATGAAAAATATCAGTTGGTTTCCAAGGCTCTCATGTTTTAGAAATGAAACATACTTTTATTTGTCCATTTTGAGGCAGGGCTTGCAATATAATTCAGGCTAGTTTTGGACTCAATATGCAGCCAAGTATGGCCTTAAACTCATGGTAATCCTCCTGCCTCAGATTTCCAAATTCTGGGATTATAAGCATGTGTCTCTATACCAGTCATCCAAAAATGTACCATATTTACACGACTAGAAAATCAAACCCATGACTAAGTGTCAGAAAGAAATATGTGCCTTCACCATGGTGGACTGATATATTTATGTGTCATAACTTCATTCCATTTACTGAGTCTCTCAACCTCAAAATCCTTTCCTATTTCCACATAACCAGTCTCTCTGATTCCTATCATCTATCTTTTAATTTGCCCCCAAATTTGTCATATTTTGAGTTTCTCAAGTGGTTGAAAATATGTAGTGTCTAATTTCCTTCAATTAGCACTGAGGTCTCAAAGTGCATACATTTTTGTATGAATGACTCAAATTTATCCAATACATTTCTAAGTGAAGAAATCTAATTAAATGTAAAGTGGTCTTATGTGGCGATGTGAAAAATTCAAAGTTTAATTGAGAATTATGTGTATGTATTATATACATGTTACATTTTGAGTTAAATTACATAAATAATTCTATCATAATAAAAATATAAATTTCTTCTTAATTTTTTTATTTTCTGATTTATGACTTATAATGGACAATGTTTCATGCCTATGTTTTTTTTTTTTTTAAAGAATAAAGCCAAATGAGAAAAAAATGTGATCATTCAAAACAAAAGGGTGGACATAGTATATAATTAAAATCATAATACAAGGTGATCTATAGTGGTTACCATGATGGCTCTTGTTATCTTTGAGATAATTGTCCATATCAACAGGTATAATAAAATTGAATATAACAGTATGGAACAAAATTAATAAAAACAAACATTGGAGACATTATAGGACTTCAAAAGAGGGTAATAGTCTAACCAGCATGTATATCATAGTGAATTTTATTGCCTTCAGAGTAGTTGCCAATAATCTCCGAGTTGATATATCCACATATATGAGTCAAACATAACAGATTTGAATAAAATCAGTCAAGACAAGAAAGCAGTCAAACAAGACATATTCAAATAAAATCAGTCAAAATAAGACAGTGAAAGTAATATAGAGATTCAGATTGTTAATAAGAAATTTACAATGGTTATCATAGTATATCCTGCTATCTTTGGAATAGTTGGCTTTGCCCTAAAATCTAGTACAAGTAAGCAAACTGAAACAGAATATAACCAAACTAAACAGAGTGATGAAAGAAATATGGGTTTCAATCATGATAAAAGATTAACAATGACTTCTGCCTTCCCTATTTAGACAACTCCTCCCTTTTTACCTTCTCAGCATATATTGTACATTTTGTATCCCACTAACTCCTTTAGTTTTTAGGTTAGGGAGGCCACCCACTATTTACCTA